AAATGGCCATAACTTGAAAAATTGAAGTCGGAATCAGCTCAAACTTTCTACACAGCATAAGAACATCAATATGTATCAGAAAACATAATAAAAATTTGGGGTGATGTCGGAGCCATTTTTAAGAAAAATACCATGGGCTATAGCCTTGGGTATTTTTCAGAATTTTGGCATTTTCTTAAAATGGCCATAACTTGAAAAATTAAAGTTGGAATCAGCTCAAACTTTCTACACAGCATAAGGACATCAATATGTATCAGAAAATGTAATAAAAATTTGGAGTGATTTCGGAGCCAATTTTCAAGAAAAACCATGGGCTATAGTACTGGTGAAATTAGCATATAAAAATGAGACACTTCCTATATCTCACCTCAATGCTGTCAGAGAAGAGGAACAATGCTATAGACAATGGTTTATTAGTCTTTCCATTATTGCTAATATTTAACTCCAACACATCATGTCTTGAAATAAACCAACGATGAGATGAAAGGACCGTTAATTCCCTCCCTGGGCTTACCTTTAAGAGGGGGGGTGGTACTCCAATGACTACCTTCTCTTGAAAGTTCTCCTGAGTCCCGATGAGTGAGGCACACTACATATTTGTAGTGTGCCTTAATGCGGGTTCAACCAGCTCCCCTCTTAACATGTCCGACCAAGAGGAGAGGAGAGAGAGTAAGTAGGCCCAAGCTTTTGCCAGAGCTATCAGCCTACTGAGTTATAATCTGGGGTATGAATATGACAGTCCGGATGACCATGTAAGCCTCTTTGTGGGGAGTGAGCTTTCATTCTCCCCAACTTAGCTATGTTATGGTCATGTCATACTGTTACATATTATACTAATTGATATAATATTGCTGTTATATCCATTGATCGAATTAACTCTCTCCTCTCCATTTAGCCATGGACTACAAAGGAAGTGGCATTCCCCAAGAGATTTCCCAAGAGGATTTGTTGAGTAAGGGGTGATGCATAAGTTAACTGAAAAGATACACTGAAAGGAATAATAACCACAAACAGCTGACACATTAATTAATAGTCTAGTGAACATACATTGAATATATTGAATGAATGCTATATTTAAGTTATTACTATCACTAAATTGATGATAATTGTTGTTAATGATAAGTAGCCCATCTCATACGAGTCACACAGGACTAGAGCATGAGTGAGAGGTCCTTGGGCTCAAACAGCGTGATCTGCAATTGATGTGGCTACCCCTGAGATCGCTGGATCAGAGTCTGCTCTAACGTATAGCAAGTAAGCATCTGATGACCATCTGCCGAGATGCTTAATAATGTGAGCCGGGACTCCAGCTGCTGCCGCTGTTGTGGCCGCACCTATCCTGAAACTGTGACCGGCAAAACAGTCAGGATTCTTGCCCACCTCGGCCAGAGCTTTGCGGACCCCTGCCACAAACTGCTCCTTTAGCAATGGGTTCCCATCCTCCCAA